AGCACGGGCGGGCGCTGCGCTGCCGCCTTTGAACGGCGAGGGCGGTCAGCCCCTTCCCGCCCTTTTCTCACTCACTCAGGCGCGAGAGCGTGGCCGTTTGGTCCGTTATTTTTGGCGGGCTTCACCTCAGCCCTTTCCTTCAGACTCCAGCAAGGACTTCAGACGCCTTTAGCCTGTGACTGGTACTGCTACTCTGTGAAGAACGGCGGAGGCTTACCCTGGTATCTCCTGTTCTCCATCCTTAGCTTACCTTTTTCTGCAGCTTTAGCTCTGGGTTTTGATTGCGTATCTTCAAGAGAGGGCAGAAAGCAAAACGCTACAGTTTAAAATCCTATGCAATACCAAAACTGCTTCATAAACTGAAATGTCAAGTTTATGGGGTTTTATTTTACAAGTATGTCACTTACTGGTGGCCATTAGGCTTCATAGTGCTAGCATAGTTTAAATTGTGTAACAGCAATGAACTAGAAGCTGCTCTAATGTTGTCACACATAATTGATGTATCTCACAGAAATGAAGAGTGAATTGATCTTAGTCTAGCTGTGGTAGATACTTGTGCTTCATTCTTATCAACACCTCTAATAGCTGCATATGGTTAACTGCCAAATCAAAATACATGTAGAGGTAATGTCTTATATTGTTTATACACACAAGTATGCAGTATTATTCATATGCCACTAAAGGCAAAATGCACCAGTAACTAACTTTGACAGAACAGCAACTAATGCTACACAACAGTCTGTGTAGTATCCTGGATGTATCCAGTAATACATAGACATTTACTATAGAAGTAGATTAATCAGAAAACAAATATGGCAAACTACCTGCACCTAATATGCTAATATGTACTTTTTCTGTTCATAATATTTGGCTGATAATAGTGGGGTTTTGACTTGTGAAGCATTTTATATATGAGGAAATTGGCTGGAGATTTTAGGTCTGTACCATAAAGTACAGAAAAGAAGTTTATTTTTTGAAGCGTGACACTATTTTTCACAGAATAGTTAAATCAGTTTTTTATTCAAAGCCATGTACGTTGCCATTACACTTTGCAGCAATGTATAAGTATGCATTTTCTATTAGTATTCTATTTTCAGGAATTAAAAAATACTCCTTGTCTTTGAATGTATATGCACTTTTAAATTCAGAAGTGAATTCAGTATTTTTACAGCACTTAAAAAAAAAAAAAAGTAGAGAATACAACTTTTACTTCAAAAATGTAATCGTTTGGGCCCTTGATCTGCAAAGAGCAGTTGCATGTTACTTGTGTACCCGTAAATTCAGTACAACTGCTCGCACATTTTAGGCTTGTGTCTGAAGTGATACATGTCACTGGGTGTACAGAGAGTTAAGAGAAACTGCCATAAAATCACATAAAATTTGGATGTGTTTAAAACATGAATTAGTTTACTTTGTTTATCTAACCTCCATACAGCAAATTTGGAGTAATCAATACATTGTTGCTTATTAAGATACAGCACAGAAATGAAAAGGAGTCTAGCTGACGCTTCAACTCGCAGCACAGCAGGTACCATCCATTCTTTTGTGCTTTACCATTCATACCTCATTATGCTTATATATATAAATATACACACACACACATGCAGTATTCATACAGGATATATAGTATTCAGTCCTAGATCCCCCATTTCCTGAGTGGCCTTGCATGGATTATCTGTTTTATTGCAGCACAGGGCAAGATTTTGAATGGAGTCAGGGGACTGGTCGCTAAGGGGAATGTTCCATTCACGGAATTATGTGCAGGATGGAGGGCTGGGAATATAAATTCTGTGAGGCAATAGCTGGTCTGTTATGTGTTTATGAAATGTAATTCCTACTGGTGATATAAAATAATTAAGTAATTTTATTTACATATTTTAAGTGTAGATTGTGTATCCTTTTGCTATTGGTGTAGTATTATTATTTGAATTTTAATTTTAGGTTGTCTGCCTGTACCTCTGTTCAATCAGAAAAAAAGAAATAGACAGCCCCTTACTTCAAATCCACTTAAAAATGAGCCAGGTACCAGTTCTGGGACTCTTACTTACGACTTTTCTCCCACATCATTTGGTAAATAAGATATATATTTTTTTTTTTAATGGCTATAAATCCAAATAAACCTTAACTTTATGATTGTATTTTATTAAATTAGACATTGTCTTTATCAGGAACGTAAGTCCTTTATGTTTATTTCTGAAAAGTTCAGTATGTAAAAAATGTCCTCCAGGAAATTTCTTTCTCCTCTATACAATTGAGCTTTTTATACTTTGTGCCTAGAGGGAGTTTGACTCTTTGTGTGTTAGAGAATGAAGTAGCACTGGCATTTAAATAGACTCTCTTGAAACTCTGAGCTTTTGTTTTCAGTTGATTTCAATCAACATTCAAGTCCTGTGTTACAAGAAGAAACACAAGATGTCTTTTTTGTAATTCAGAAGAGAACTTCTGTTCTTCAAATTCTGCTTTTTTTTTCAGCGTTCTGCCTTTAGTACTTTCTTTATCTTTTACTTATAATAAAGTGAAAAAGTTTACTTATATTAAAGTAAAAGTCTCTGTGCTAATAAGTCTAATGTTTGTAACTTAACCATTGTCTAGAGAAGCAAACTACTTGTTAGAAGTTGCTTTATAATTACGGATATCAAAGGACCACATTCCCTTTTTTTCCTTCTCCTTCCTGTGTGAGACTATTTGTGGAACATGAAGCAGATAAAGAGTAGGAGCCCTAAGCAGACCTATTGCCTTTCAATCTTTTCAGTTTGTATCCATATTTAATCCTTTGTCTTTTGAGAATTAGGCTGGGGAACTGCAAACCCAGAAGTAGCTGAACTACAGAAAGCAGCAGACAATAGGTATGTAAACACAGATTATTTGTTGCTTATTGATTTTTATTTGGGTACTAATTGTTTCACAAACTACGATCCATGTGTCTGTCTTACAACAAACCTGCTACTATGTCACTGATACTTTAAACTTATCTTTGAAAGCCGAACAGAACATCAGATGGCTCCTTCCCTTACGAAACCACCAAATGCATCGAAGTCTAATTTAGCAAATGCTGGAAAAAACTTGTATGCCTGCAGGTTGGTGAAGTCTTTAATTTTTATTGTCCTTCCTTACCAAATTTGTTCTCATGTGAAAATATATCTTAAATTTTCCGTATTCTTGTAGCATTCAGAGAGAACCTTTTAATCCTCAGATCATCGCTGATCATAATTCCATTGTGCTTATGAGCCAAAACCCACTGAAATGAAGTATCTTTCCAGTGTGCCTAATGAGGCCTATTAATTAGACCTAATATCTAGCCTTATTATCAGGCCTAAAATTCAGTCTTACCATAAAAGTTGATTGAATTTTGCTGGTCTTAGATGTAATTTTTTGAGATTACCCTTTACTTGAAGTTTTGCCCACTTTCAAACCAAATTTATCAATTAACTCAAATAAGTTTCTGTCAGTGTACATTAGGGCAATTGTATATTGAAACATTTAATCAAAACTGAATATAATTGTGAACTCTGTGCTTTTATAAACCAAGGAAAAGCTTACAGATTCAAATGCCTAGAGCTGGCAGGAAAACTTCCAGCAATGTTGTCCTTTTTCTCTCTTTCCTTCCTCCTATTCCTTTCCAATGGCAAAAAGAGAGTGAATGTTTCAGACAAGTGCCTTCAAAGGCAAAATGGGATGGAGGTGGAAGGAATTGCTGAGCCACCTTTATAAAATGAAGGGCGTTAGAAATAATAGGGTCAGCACCAGAGGTTGTTGTAAAATGATCTCTTCTGTGATGGTGGTAGAAGAATTTGGAAATATCACTGTCAGAAGAAACTTTGCTTATTTTATTTTAGAGTTATGGAAAAGATGTGAATCTTAGGTCATGAAGGATCCCTTAAACAGGGCAGGACAACAATTAAGCAAGCTTTTAAGGCCTATTGAATTCAGCTGGATTTAAGCACAGGTGTGATCACTGCCCTGTATCTGGATGAATTTAAGTGTATACTCAAGTGCTTTGAATCTGAATATTTAACAGATGTTTTTAAAGCTAGAACAACAACACATAAATTGTTTTTATATACTTTAATTACATATCTGAGTATTCAGAATAGATATTGTAATACTGAACTATGTCTTGTGTTGTACTGCAGGATGGAAGAGAAGATTCCCAGTACTAATGTTTGGAACAGAAATGAGTATACTCCTTTAAGTAACACAACAGAGTCAAGATCTGATAGTGGAATTATTCGGAAGTTTGAGAGCCTTTCAAATAGTTTGAAAACCGTCCAGCAGCAAAAACCCCCTGATATCCGTAATTCATCTCAGCATATCAAAAAAACAGAAACCAGCCAAACATATACATCTATTTTTTTTTACTCTTTCAAAAAGTCTGCAGGATCATAGTCTGGCATACAGGTTTAACCACAATATTCAGCAAAATAAAATGAATGAAAAACAATATGATTGTGTTCCAGAAGACAAAAGTCAGGTAAACTTATGGAGAGAGTTAATAGGAAGATACAAGGAAGAAAACAGTAAAGAAAAAGAAAATTGTGGAAAGATGAAGCTTTCATCAGTCTTAGCTGCCTTAGTAAACCCTTAAGTTTCTGAAAATTTAGAAATGAGATTTTCATACTACAATAACCTACAGTCCTCAGCATGATCATATAAATTGGCAGCGAGTTGTTTGTATAGTCTGAACAAATACTCTAATTTTAATGTAAATATTGGATATTTAACATAATACATAAATGTCTATGTGCCTTTTAAAATTGTGTGAGTGTGTATCTCTAACTTGAGTTTTCATCTTCCTCTGAAAGGAAGTTTCATCATCTCAATTCAAAATTAAAGAAAAAAAGAATTCTTTGCGAATCATATCTGCTGTCATTGAAAGTATGAGGCACTGGAGTCAATATGCTTATAAAACTGCCCTATTATTTGAAGTTTTAGGTAAGCATGGTAGATTGTGCTATAACTGATAATAATGGTAGGACAACAGCCAAGAGAAAATGTTATTAACTGTAAACAGCTGAAACAGTTATTGACTGTAACAATAGCTGAAATACTTAAAACAACAAAATGCTGGCATGAGCACCATCTAATTATCCTACTGGGCGATCCATTCAGCTATCACAGGTGACTAAAATAGGTACAGAATTAATAATACAGTCATCCTCCAACATTTAAGCTCTTTCTATCCTGTTTCTTTTCTTTCCTTGTTTTTAGAATGTGTTACAATACATTTTCCTATTTAATAGGAGCCTTCTGTAGAGAGGTACAGTTTTACAGTCATTTTTAATACAATTAATCTAGGAATAAATTCAAGTCTGGAGTACTTCTAAACATAGATGACTTTCAGTGTGTTTCACTTTGTGTTTTAATTGACATTAACTGAGAAGTGAACGTGACAAAAGACTGAAATGACTAAACTTTAAATCAGGGTGAATAAGAATATACAATGTAATGGCATCTCAGAAAACTATTATTTTGAAAAGGTTGCAAATATTTAAAGTTGATTTGCATATGAAGATCAGTAAAACTTAGAGAATTGTGTTGTGCTCTGCTTAACAAGGGCATAACCTGTTTACAGTGATGGTTATGAAAACCACATTTGGTCACTCAGTTTAGAGACATCATATACAATTGTACTATTCAAAGACTATGTAAAGCCCATAATTGTGTTGGAACTTCCAGCACAAGTTCTTACAGAAAGCTGATGCTGATTCGATATATCTTAGTGCTTTTGTGTAGGAAATGTTGTCATGGTATGTTTGGATATCATACTTAGTACTGCTCTGATGTTTACATCACAATTTATTTTTGCTAAATGGTATAGGCACACTTGATTCTGCAGTCACACCTGGAGCATATGGGGCAAAGAATTTTCTTCTGAGAGATGGAAAGGAGAGTCTGCCTTGCGTATTTTACGAAATTGTAAGTATTCCTGTGTCCATGCATAACACAGACACCACTAGCTATAATCCCTTTTATGAAGCTAATAATATGTTGTTCTGATAAAACAGAAAATTACCGTAAAAGGAAAGCTGGATGCTTATACCATATTGTTCCCAAACTGGTCTAGAGCAATAATCCAGTCGCTATTTAGGCATCCTCAGACTTCTGTTTCAGCAAAAAAGGTGGGACTTTCAGGTCAGCTTCTAAGCAGTTGATAATAGCAAAAAAGCTGATATAAATTCCTTCTGTGTTTGAGGTGGTCTTCAGAAATCCACTAATATCTAACAACTGGGCATTTTGAAAGCTTTTATGTTAGAAAGGTGTATAATTTTTTATTTATTTATTATGCTTTTGATGAAGGACCGGGAGCTTCCAAGACTAATTAGAGGTCGAGTGCACAGGTGCATGGGAAACTATGACGCAAAAAGGAACATTTTCAAGTGCTTCTCTGTAAGACCAGCAACTACTCCAGAACAAAACGCTTTCCAAGAATTTGTTAAAATTGCAGATGTTGAGATGACAGCATATGTAAAAACAATGAATGAAATTTAAAAGTCAAAATGGTTGTCCAAAACCGATTTTCACTAATCATTACGCATACAAGCTGGACATCCTAAAGCATTTACCAAAACTAAGACTGAAGATCTGATTAATTAATTGAAAATATCAGTATGCTATGTTATCCAACAAATGTTAGTAACAATGTTTTGTTTCCACTATTACTTTTCGTAGCTTATCTTTGCCAGTTAAATATGCAATAACAGGATTTTGTTACATAGTAGATTAGATTTTACTGGAGAAATTCTGAATTAAAATGTTTAAGTATGCAGTAGTGCAAGTGTCTTAGAAAAAGATCATCAATACTAATTCAGATTGCCATTGCTTTTCATTATCTTCAATTTCTAGAAATTCCTTCAATACCTATTTCAAAATGTTGACTATACTTCTTTTGAGGAGTATTTGGTCAAAGTTTAATAGTGAACAAAGGTCAACGAAGTTCTCTTTGGCTCTGCATATTGTATTAAAACTGCTCTTTGGTAGAAAATAAGGAGGTAGTCTTTATTCCACTTCAATTCCAACTAACAGGTTGCCTTTCCTTTGCTGGGTTACAAGAACACATGTAAAAGCTTTTCTAGAAATGAACATAATAGATACTACAGAAAGATTTCACAGGATGCAGCTGTATATATTGGGTATTTGTATGGTTCCCATTGATATGTTATCTGATTCATGTTTTTTAAAAAAATAAATAATCAGTATAACACCTGTATAAAATAGCAACAGACCCTGAAGCTGTAGGAAGATTGGTGAAGTACACAGAGGAAGTTGGAGGGAAATAATTATTTGAACACAGAACTTCCTGGCCTTTGCCATAGAAACATCTTTCATGAGGGATGGACCATGTACATATTTATGTGTCTTTGCCTTCAAACATTAACTTTCATAGATTATTCCTTGGTTTTATTTCCTTTTCCTCTTAGCTAGTTCCCCTACTTCAAAAGTTTTGTACCAGATCTGTTGGGAATTGTAAAACAAAAGCGTTATCAAGAAAATAGTGAACAGTGTGTTGTTGTTTTTTTTTTTTTTTAAATTTTATTATACAGTGTTGGCAATTGGAAATTTCACATTTAAAATAATTGAAATATTGTATCCAACAAGTCAAATACAGAAAACAGTTAATATTCTAAAAAGGAGCCAGCTAGTCAATGCAGAAACACATTAATGGAAAATACAGCTTTTAGTTACACTTAAAAAATTATATATTTAGAATAAAACTTGAACCTGGTCCAGTAAATTGTTTGACTTGTAACAGGAAAACGCTTTTACACAGTTTAACGCGCAGACAGTCTTTATTTAAAAAAGTGATCTGTCAGTGTTAGCAAATGTATTGTTAGCGACACCCCCCCCCTTAATGTTCCAGTTGAGAATCTAAAGTATATGCTTTACTAACTGTTGAAAGAATCACTTGCATTATCATCTCTACCTTCTGTGCTAAGCTGGTTCTGAGCGTGGGTGTTTCAAGGAGAGTTTTGTCTATCCAGTTGTAGAGGTCATATACATATATTTGATTTTCTTTATATATTATAAAATATTAAAGAAAGTTCCAAATGGAAGCATTAGCTTAACTCATAAAAGGTGCAGAATATTACAGGATGTAGAGCTTGACGATATTCACAACAGAAGCTGAGTTTTAATAAGTAAAGGATTTGGTACAGTGGTGTTGTAAATTGTAAGACTCCATTGTAATAGTAAGTTAAAACTACAAAGGAAGCTTGAACTACAGGACCAGACCTGCAAGCATCTGTGCGTGTAATCAACATCACACAAATGTTGTAGTCCTGCTGATTTGAGTTGAATGATTGATGGTTCCAGTTCTGCACATGTGAAAGTTACGTTAATAAGTAATGACAGGAATAGGTCATTTGTGTCTACTAGGTATGTTATGGCTGTTAATAAAAATCTAAAATAATTTTACTTTCAGTAAGTGTTTAGATCTTCGCAAAAAAAGTTTTCTACTTTACACTAACAAATCACTTTTTCTAGTGAAACATTAAGTGAACAGTCGTAAACATTACACAAAACAGAAAAAAACCCTACGTAATACAGTTTATACACGTTACTCAACATTTTTCAGTTGTTGCTTGTTTTGGTTTTTTATTTAACCATATTGATCCTGTCTTGTATAATGGTTCTAGTGTAAAGGCACAGGTTGGTTAGGAAAGAAAAGCCTGCATCTCTGTCTCTCTACTTAGCGGTGATGATTTTCTTTTTACATGTTGTTTGTTATTCCTCACTTTTCTGACTCTTATATGAAAATTATCAACTTCAGCCATTCATTAAAAAAAGTGTAAGACATTACTATACAGAAGTGACTGAAATGTATTCTTCTTACTTTAGAGGCATTCCTTCAACCTATTTTGTTAAATATTTGGAAGATTTAATTCTTTAGTCACTGTGAGCAAAAACGCGTAGCACGGGCTCACTCTCTCAGTGTACTTAATTCTACATTGAAATCTGTATTTTCAAAGATTAGTAATGGAACTTGCTAAGTTTATGTGCAGAATTTTGCTTTTAGAATGCATGAAAATGTAACAACAGACAATTATTTTGGAAAACAATGCAATGTTCCATTGAAGTTTAGAAGGGTGAGGAATGTAAACAAGACTGCAGAAGTCTTTGACATTTATTAAAATAACACAGTGATTGTTCTATCTGTTTGCATTTTCTTATACATCCTCAACATGTCTCTGTCTTGTCCTTTCATGTACACTTTCCATTAATAAAAAAAAAAAAAAAAAAGAAATTCAGGAATCAGTTTGACTCAGCTAAGTGAAGAATAATAAATTTGATCACTTGGTTTGTGCCAAAATACAAAGCTAAGAAGTACAGCTCTGAATTAAATATAATCTATGTGATTTTCTTTTTTAATAAATAATAGAAAATAAAAGATGAGAATAGAATTAGAAATTCAATTTTAATTTTAAATGAAAAAATAACAGTGGGGTGAGATTAGAACCCAATGTTTCTTTTGCTTAAGGCAATCAAGTGCACTTATTTCAATGCTTGATAGTAATGAATTCAGTGCTATTGTGGAAATCGGACTTCACAAATTTCACGTACAAACCCATGAAATATGGCCATTTGCTAGTTCTGACACGGCATCAGATTATTCTTATTAGTCGTGTCCAGAAGCATTTCACTTCCCTTTTTTTTTTTTTTTTTTTTTTTACAATAATGGGCTCTTAATAGGAATGGAAATACTAGAATCTGGTTCGTTCTGGCTTGTATTATCACTACATACAAGGGCCATTGGGCACATACATTTTTGTAAACAGAGATTTTTCTTTTCGGCCTTAAAAAAACAACAAAAAAGCCCAAAATCTAAAGTTGTAATAGTTCAAATAATTTTGTAAAAATCCACCTAAAATGATAATTTAAGAAATACCGAAAACAAATTCTTAGCATTTTTTTCCTGTTGTTAAACTATTAAATCATCATGAAGCCTTTGGAATTAGTTGGATCTCTCTCTCTCTCTCTCTGAAAAGAGTCATCTAAATTTTATGCAAGTCTTCATGAAGATGACTGTAAATCTTGAAGATTAGATCAGTATTAAAAAGTGTGCCGACAACTTACAATATGCAGGTACTACGAATACATATAGATTAAAAAGAAACTTTTTTCTTGTATACAATTCTTTTTAGATATCAAGCTTAATTTTAGGCCACGGCTACTAGTAGGCGCTTTTTCACTAATCAAAATAATTGTAACAAAATATCATTATTGATTTTAAAATTATTGGGTTCATAAAAGTTTCGACATCTAATAATATATAAAAAGTGAATTGAAGCTTTTAAAAGACTTATGAATTTGAGACACAAAAGAAACTGGGAGGTAGACAGATGCTTTGAGGATAAACAGATTTTTTTTGTCTAAGGCATTATGCCACTATATGTTTAGAGCAGTATAAAGGCTGCTGATTAATCCTATTTCAATTCCAGAGTGTTCGCTGCTCATACTTATGGAAGACTATCAATGCACTTTCGGTCTTTGTGAATCTGACCTTCTCTTCCCCATCTCCTTTTTTCTCTCCTTAGCAATACAGCTAAATGGAAGTGCTATAATAATTTCTGCCCATTGCCTGTAGACAGGAATGTTCTGTTCTTAAACAGTAATAAAATACTATAAAATAGTAGGTATTGGAGTTGGAGATATGTGCTCTTTTGGTGCATATTTTGCAAAGAATGGTAAAAAGACAGACAACATGACCCCAACAATTGCCAGCATATACCCCCATCCAATCTGGCAGTCTCCTGCATAGTAGATGTCTGAGTTCTCACAGAATCTCTTCACAGTAGCAGAGTTGAAACCAAAAGGGTAAACCAAAAGCCCAGAAGCCATTATGAACACTAGAGAGGAGAAAAAAAATACATCAATTATTATCGAACACTTAATTCCTTTGAAAAAAAATCCTTCTTTTAGGAAGGCAAATATATGTTATATTAAAATCAATGGGAAAAGTCATAGCTTAACAAAAATCCCTTATGATTGGCAGATTATCTTACTTTTCATAATTACCTCTTATGGACAGCAGTGTCATAACATGGTAGCAAGTTGGCATTGGGATTTTTTTCATGAGAACTCTTGCCCATTACATAACTTCAGAAGGGTTGTAATCCAAATTATGTAGCCATTTAAAAAGTCAGATGATTCAGATACAATGGAATCCAGAGAAGAATTCCTACGTTTGCAGATTCCAAACCAGCTTGATTTTCTTCTCAATAGCATTTTTGTACTTGAGACAAACAATTACTTTGTTCTGCCAAAAAAAAACTTTCAATGAAAGAGTTTAAATGTAGTTTTTCAGATTCTGCTGATTGGGTTCTAATAATGTAAGCACTTTCTCATTATTCTCATTATTACAAACTCAAATTGTTTAAAAAATTCTGCATTTGACCCAAAGATTGTGAGATGAAAAACAATACAATCTGTCTTCTTTTTATTTAGCTTTTAGCATTGGAGTCTTTCAGTATGTTTTTTTGAATTCTCTCTGT